ATAAGAAGCAGTAGTCTAGCTTTGGTGGCAATGTGAGATCTCTCTCTCTCTCTCTCTCTCTCTCTCTCTCTCTCTCTCTCTCTCTCTCAAACACAGAAGTCGAACAACAGGACTAGTTCTCGATGTGCCTTGCATGCACACTGGTTCTTGGCTCTGGATTCTTGTCCAGCAGAAAATAAAACCAGATAGAGCATGCTGGGAATCCCAGTATTGGAGGGTGGAGACAAGAGGATCAGGCTGTCAAGGTCATCTTCCAACATGGAGAGTTGGAGGTCAGTCTAGGAGGAATGACACTATTTTAAAAGCAAACAACCCCTACCCCAAATCTTAATGCCCAAATCTAAGAAAACAGTGACATGGCAGCCCATAATAACCACATATTCCGTGTGAATCAGAAGATCTTTCTGATAGAGAGAAGAAAGTCCGCCATTTAGATGTGCAGTAATTTTTTTCCCTGTGACTCACATCTGGAATTGGCCTGAGTGTTGAGTTCATCCCTGTGCACACAGCACTGAAGAGTTCAACAAGTACTTCCTGCTGGCCCTGTGGGAGGCACTGGGGTGCTTTGTGAGTAGTGCTCCCTGGTGATCCTGTGGGGGGCAGTCTGGAGGAAGGTTTGGAGAGCATAAGAAAGGCAGGGATGCTTTTGGCCCTGTAACCTGTCAGAAACTGTTGTTGTGCTGCCCCCTAGTGGCACTTCTATGCCAGTTCCCTGTTAGAGCACCTGGTTGGCTGAGGTCTCTGCTTCACCTGGTGGAACCACTGGGGTGGTTGGGTGGGTTTGTGGGTGGGGTGGGGGTAGGTTTGCATTACTATACCCATCTAATATGATTCTGTCCTTCCTTCTTTCATTCCTTTTCCCCATTATCATAGTAAAGGAACAAAATACCCTTCATAGCTCTGCTGACCAGGAGATGGCCTTGAAGAAACTGCAGAGACACACACTGCTATTCCTATCTCTGTTGTTCATAAGGCTAGACGACTGGGCAGCAAGTCAAGAGTGAAATCGACACTCTGGGCAAGATTCAGAAGCACAAGAGGACTGGGACAGTGACTGTCTATTTTTACATTACCTGCTTTCCTTGTGAGATAGGAATTCATTCCCCAGAATGCAAGAAAAAGAGTGAGCAGGCTTGCTGAAGCTTGTCACCCCAGCACTCGGAGATGGAGACAGGTGCATCTCCTTTTTTGTTTTGCTGTTGTGATTCATGTTTTGGGTTTTTCCCAAGAATTTCTCTGTTTGGCCCGGGCTCTGTAGACCAGGCTGGCCTTGAACTCACAGAGATCTGCCTTCTTCTGCCTCCCGAGTGCTGGAATCAAAGGCATGCTCCACCACCACCTCCATTTGATGAAGGTGCATCAATCTTGCTGGCCCTGAGAAAGCCTGTGTCCAAAACACAATGTGTACAGCATCTGTGAATTGATATTTGAAGGGAATACATGTGCTATATACCTACAAGTTTGAGCATACACGTGTATGTATTCAAGGACACACACATACAAGCACACAAGTGTAAACATATAATGTGTGAGTGATCTGCACACACACTGAAGTAAAAATAATGATAAAGAAGCACAAAGTTACTTGCAGAACCAGGTAGCTTTTTGGAAGACCTGACCTTCTGTGCAGGAGCATCCTAGTTGGCAAGACCTAGGAGAATGAGACAGGGTGATGCTGCTGAGAACACTGGGGTGGTCCTCTCTGGATGCTCTATGGTTGACAGAGCCCAGCAAGCCAAGCTTTGGGGACTCTTATTACTGCTGAGTAGAATCCAGTTGGTGGGCTGACAAGGTGATCCCAGCTTTGTTAGCACAGTGGGTCACCTGGATGTCTCACCTCTCTGCAGCACGACAAGAGGCACCTCACAGAAGCTGAGGAGGATGGCCCTGCACTCAGGAGCAAAGGCCACCTTGATCAGTTCTACTGGCATTAATCCTCCCCACAAATCATTGCAATATGTTTTCTATGTTGGAAATAAAATGGCATTGTTAAATGAGCTTTTTGTTGTTTTGAGACAGGGTCTTTGTAACTCTGCTTGGCCTGGTACTGTGTAGCCCATGCTGGTCTTCAATTTGAGGCCATGCACCTCGGCTTCCCGAGTGGCTGGGATCACAGGTGTGCCTCATCACTCCCTCTTCAATACACACTCCTTCCTCTTTGTTTCTGTGTATGTGTCTCTGTCTGTCTCAACAAGTATATCACATACCCCACCTTATCCTTGAATTTGTGATGTAGCAAGAGGTGCCCTTGAATCCTGAGCCTCCTGACTCCAGCACTCACTCACACTAGTTTTATGTATCACTGGGGATCAAACCAGGGTGTGTGCACCCTAGATATGTACTCTTCACACTAATCCACATCTTCAGCATATAATGCTCCCTTTTCAACTTTTGACAATTCTCTATTTGGACTACTATCTTTTGAAAATAATATGGCTGGTTAAAAATGTAAGCATAGGAGAGTATAGCAGAACGATAATTCCAGTGTAGGTGGCGCCATTCATGTCTCCTTTGTAGGCAGCTCAGTGTTGGGTAGCTGTGTGATGCTGTGCGTGTCACTGTTAAAGCTCAGTGGGCCTTATCTGTCAAGTGATAGTACCTCATCCGTCATGGTGTGAGAAATCTGTAGTGGAAATCCATTCCACCAATTAGCTTTGAGATATAAGTCTTAGGGTGTGGCTTCTTTCCGCATATATGATGCTTAAAAGGAAAGAGGGAGGGGCGGGTCCCAAAAGAGGGTGGAGTGGGTCCCATCCCTTTTTTAATTAAGAAATGTTCTATTCACTTTTACATACCAACCACAAATCCCCCTCTCCTCCCTCCTCCCATCCCCCAGCCTCCCCCCAATACACCCCCCATTCCCCACCTCTTACAAGGCAAGGCCTCCCATGGGGAGTCAGAAGAGCCTGACATTCAGTTGAAGTAGGTCCAAGGCCCTCCCCCTGCACCAAGGCTGCAATAGGTGCCCCACCATAGGCACCAAAAAGCCCACAAATGCACAAGGGAAGGATGATCCCACTGCCAGGGAGCCCCTTAAGCAGGTCAAGCTACACACTGTCTCACCTACAGTCAGTTTATCATTTTCCTTTAGCAATAGTGCATGGCAACAATGGTCCGGATGCAGGTGGCCATCCTGCTGCAACAAGGTCTAGGCATTTAGATAAACAAGCCACAGGCCTTTTCCAGGGTCCCAAAGTCGGAGTCAGTATGTCTTTGGCCACCCTGTGTCATTCATCCACATACAAATGGAAAGGCTTGATAATGCCCAGTAGCCTGAGTTCAGGGGCTGACATCAAAGCCTCCTTGAGTTTTTAGAATGCCTCCTTTCTTGGTTTTCCCAGATCAGGATTCCATATTCTCCTAGACTCTGGTATAATAGTTTTGCTTTTTCTGCAAAGTCTGGTACCCAGAGTCTGCAGTATACAACTGTACCCAAGAATTCTCTCACCAGCCTTTTATTTTGTAGCTCAGGAATATTCAAGATAGCTTGGAACCTGCTCAAGGACAGAGTCCTGCTGCCACCCTGTAAGCAATACCCCAGATAAGTTATCTTATTGGAGCACAATTGGGCCTTGTTGGCAGACACGTGGTAGCCCAGTTGCCAGAGCATTTTAAGCAGTTCCTCAGTAGCTTGTTGGCTTTCTTTCGGGGTACACACAACAATGAGGAGACCATCCACATGCCGTAAGAGGGTGACCTTTGAGTGCCCCTGGAGGTACTCAAGCAGATTTGCACTAAGGGCTTCACACAGAGTAGGGGAGTTCTTAAACCCCTGTGGTAGTTGGGTCCAGGTCAGTTGATCACTGAACCCTGACTAAGGGTCTGTCCATTCAAAAGCAAATATAGGTTGGCCCACAGGACCCTGGGGTAGAAAGAAAACGGCATCTTTCAGGTCCAGGACAATATATACAGCTTTTCCTGGATCTAATAGGCTGAGCAAAGTGTAAGGGTTTGCAACACTCTTGTGGACAATTTCCATTCTCCTATTTACTTAAGTCCTGAACAGGCTCAATTGCAGGGAGCAGAAGAGTGTCCCAAGGCAAGTGCTGGGGACCAAAATTCCCGCATCCCTAAGGCAGCTGATGTGCTTTCTAATACCAGCCTTAGCTGCCCTTGAGATGGGGCACTGTTTAACACCTATAGGCAAGGCTGAGCTTGAGAGCTGAACAACAATTGTCTGCCAATGTGAGGCCAGTCCAGAGGAATTGGTCTCTGCCCATACTCCAGGGAACTTCAGCATTAATTCTGTTAGAAGGGAGTTGGCCACTCCCAGTATTTTTTTCCATGTTAATTTTTGTCATTTGTTTTTCTGATGAGGGGCAAGTGACCAGGATGGCTGACTATGGACTCCCTAGGTCCAGATTGGCTTTATTCTCACTGAACTTGATGGTGACACCAAGTTTTCTCTGCAAGTCTCTACCAATCAGGG